GCCATGTTTTAAAAAAAACTGTATTTTTTATTGGGATTATAATTATTCGCCATCAGTTCATTCGTGTGACGAGATATCCTCACTAACAATGCATGATATTGTTCGGCAATCATGATCTTTGACTATTCAACAATAAATATGTATGCAATAAATATGTCGTTGTTGTTGCGTTGTCGTGTTAGTTCCCATACAGTTGCCCCCCCCCGTGGCACAGCGGAATGTCTGCGGACTTACAACACTAGAAACCGGGTTTCGATATCCGTGATGGGCAGATCACATATAGCCCATTGTGTAGCTTTATACTTAACTACAGCCAAATATATTAAAAACTTGTAAAAGTGTCGCAGTTTAAATACCGAAATCTGGTGAACAATTAGAAACTAATAAGTCAAAAATTCGTAATATAAATCAGAGGTTTGTAAAAATAACATTTCAGGCCTAACCTTTTGTTTCCCAAAAGCAGTTTTCAAAGAGAATCTTTAACTAGAAGGTTGCCATATTTATGATAGTATGTACCTTTTCGTGCGTCTGTATTTTATTATAAAATTATAAGCAACGACCTTTGATCACAGCAAGCAAGCATATATCAGAACTACAAAATAACCCTGTACTTAATGTAGCTAATTTCATATACTAGTCTAATCGGTAGAACGTTACGAAACATAAGAAAAAAAAAGAATATAAAATATTGATTCATGAGTAGGCTGTCTTCACTGTTATCGATATTTTTGACCATACTGTAATGGTAGGCAGAAACGTGTGATATAGCCAGAATTTATTAAATGATCACAGATTCACAAAAAATCAAATGTTATATATATAAAGCTAAAATATTCTACACTAAAATACACGTATGAGTTTGTTTGTTTTTCCGGCTCGTATTACTGTTTTTTATATTTGTTTCCATGACCAAAAACAAAATTAACCTTTAAAACATGGAAGTGTTTAGTTCCACTTCCTGAAATTAATCTTTAAAACATGGAAGTGTTTAGTCCCACTTCCTGAAATTAACCTTTAAAACATGGAAGTGTTTAGTCCCACTTCCTGAAATTAACCTTTAAAACATGGAAGTGTTTAGTTCCACTTCCTGAAATTAACCTTTAAAACATGGAAGTGTTTAGTCCCACTTCCTGAAATTAACCTTTAAAACATGGAAGTGTTTAGTCCCACTTCCCGTTTCTTTACCTATGTGAGAACATTTTGTTTCGTTTCATCAGCTGGTATAAACACTGCAATATAATTTATCTCGGTCATTCTATTCGTCTGTCGCACCGAAAATCCTCGACGGGAAGATGCCTAACTTCTAAAGTCGACACTCTCCAATCATGGTTCAGATGACATCATCTAAAAATCAGAACTCTTACGCGCATTCTCTACGTTTTGTCTCCGTAGCAACCACTAGACGTAAATGCGATTTCGATCGAGCCGTAGTGAGAAACAACGAACGAAACGAATCATTATTCAGACCGTTTTTAGCACACTGACCAGTCGAGTCTCAACTGCTACGGTATAATCATGTAACTAGAACTAAGAGTTTTAAAACTTGGTTCAAGTGTTCAGAAAAATAATTAGATGGATGTTAGGAATTTTCAACCATCAAAAACAACGGTCTTAACACTACTACGTCCATTTGGTAGTTGGAGGATTTCGCGTATCGTGGACTAAAGACCTCACGTTTAACGATCTTTTAGGGTTTTGTTGTGTTCATCTTAACAATGGGAACAGTTCTCAGCATCTCTCCAAGAGGACCGAAATCCGCTTTTGACGAATACTCATCAAACTACGAGCAACTCTGTAATGCTAAAAATAAAGAAAAACATGTGGAGAAAACCCATTCCAATCAGCATGGACATTTCAAGAAGCACTCGTTGTTCATCAACGCTCTCACGTGGAAACACATCAGCGTGCCCGGTAAAAAGAAGAGCGAAAAGAACAAAAACACGTCTTCTCGTCACCCACTAGACAACATTGACTCTCTCGTGGACAACAACAAGAACATTCAGAAGTCGTTATCATGTTATAATCTGAAATGTAACAACGTCGGATCAGCAGAATTAGTCGCCAAAGGCGACAATAGTTTCCATAAAGTCGCTCCGCCTCCACTACCACCGAAGCCGACAGTATTGTCTGGACACAACTTGGTCCGTCCCGCCCCTCCAGGAGCTCTAGCAGCTAGTGGAACAGTTGTTCCGAGTAGGCCACCCCCACCACAAAGCTCTCACAGGAAGACAGTAATCCAGGCTTCCACTTCGGAACTCCTGAGGTCACTAGGTGAGTTTTTGTTCAGAAAATGTCGGAAGGTTAAAGACTTCCAGGCCGGAGATGCCGTTGTTTGGTTAAGAACGGTAGACCGCTCGCTGCTTATCCAGGGCTGGCAAGATATCGCCTTCATCAACCCAGCCAACGTTGTCTTTCTGTACATGATGGTCAGGGAACTGGTAAGTGACGAGATCGATAGTGAGCAGGAGCTGCAGGCCATCGTGCTCACTTGTCTCTATCTCTCCTATTCGTACATGGGAAACGAAATCTCCTATCCACTGAAACCTTTCCTTCTGGAAGAGACTAAAGAGATGTTTTGGGACCGCTGTCTTCTCATCATCAACCTTCTCAGTGGTAAGATGTTGCGTATCAACAGTGAGCCTGGTTTCTTCACCGAAGTTTTCACTGAACTGAAGGCCTATTGTCCGACCTCTGGTTAACACCAATCAAACTCTAGGTGACTGACCAGAAATTCGCGTAAAAAGGATGTACCTTTAACCTGAAAGAAGAAAGTGTCACGTGGTCAAGGTCATCTCAGTTAGATTGACTGTGGGCTGTGCAGGACCTACTCATCCTGCTTGTGTAGCCGCCCGAAGGTGGAATCCTTTTTTATACGATTTCTGTTCTCTACTGTATTAGGCAACTCCCTGCTTGTTGTCTAATTATAACTCATGTAGTCCTTGCCAGTATGGAGATCTATGTGGATTTAAGCTAGACAAGGTAACATACTTAGTAGTCTGACTTGTACTGTGATAACTAGAAGTTTTAAGAATTCAACTTTAAGATATGGTTTAGTAAATCATTTTGAGTTTTTAATTGAAAAACAAACATTTGTTTTAAATGTCTTCTATTCATTATTAACCCAGAAAAGTAGAAACATGGCTGTCAATTTAGGTTTATTAATATTTTGATTAAATTTCAATATCCGCGGAGCACCAGGAGGTAAACAAAGTAAATATTAAACAGCTAAAAATGTGTCTCAAACGAATACTGGAAATACTTGCACGATGTTAAACTTTCTGTTGAAACAATCCTGTCACTTAAAGTTATTAATAGTATAGTTGAATTAAACAACAACGTTGTACCGGAAGATAAACAAAGCAAACGTTAATTATTTAAAATACATGTTTATGTAAAACGAAAATCCATGAAAAAGACTTTGTAAATTTTTGAGAATCTATATTTTGTTGATTCATATAAAAACGAAATTTTTCTTACCTCCATGTGTGAGAAACTGTATAAATATGGCAATCGAAGAAAGTAAAGTACTTCAAAGAAATATCAGTCTTAGCGTTTCAGACGTAATAGGTTTTACTTAGTGCGTCACATTTCAGAGGCGTAATAGAGGAATGTGCAAATAAAATCTACAAAGTTTTGTTCAACTGATTAGTAGAGCAGAGTTCGTCTGTCTACGATGTATTATTGTATATTGTTAGCATATTCTAGATGAAATATACGTTTCGTTTGTACAGTTTTGTATGGTAATTCATTGTTACAATTAAGAAGAAACAATGTTTTGCGGAAAGCTCAAAATCACTGAAACAGTGTACAGTGTTATGAAGTTGTAGAGTTATACATTCAATTTTATGAGAGATCAATTCGTTTAGTGTTTGAACAAAGTTTGTAACTTCTCCCAAACATTGTTTTATTTAAAATAAATCACATGTTCAAAAAGAAGGCGAATTACAATGTTTGTTGAATACTGGTAGTTATCTAATTATTTCTGTAAATAATTAGAGTTATCTAAAAAAATCTGTAAACAGTGAGAGTTATCTAAAAAATCTGTAAACAATGAGAGTTATCTAAAAAATCTGTAAACAGTGAGAGGTATCTAAAAAATCTGTAAACAATGAGAGTTATCTAAAAAATCTGTAAACAGTGAGAGGTATCTAAAAAATCTGTAA